TTGTGGCAAGTTTTTAAATGACTCCCTGGGCAACGTATACTCATACGGCAAAAAAGTCTATAAAACGGCAATTGACCCCATTGCATGTCATATTCGACCACTTTCATAGTACTCACCTCACCTTTCATCTACCTTTGTGTCTGCCTCTTTTACATCTTTAAAACACTCTTCTGTCCCCCCCCCTCCTCTCGACATTCTTCCCTTCGATGTTCCTTCCCTCTATGAAGCCCGAAGTCATCTAAAGGGCTAATGATAACTATCATAACGCCTGTCATTTGATATAATAAATACTGTTACTCATCGTTGGGCGCATTCACTTCGCTAATGACTCCCCTTGCTAGATCAATCAGATATTATCATATGCAATTTCCGTTTGGGAAGAAAACTGTTTGGATGTCCTTCGAGTAGATGCTGCTCCATGACGCTTATCACAAGGCCAAATAACAAGATTCTTTTATCTACACTGACTCACTACTGAATGGTAAACACGGCACCTAAGATGATGGGAAATTAATTGTAGTTAAAGCTTTAATCATTCCAATCCCCTAATTCGTCGCCGAAAAATGAACTCTGCATTTTGGAAGACTAAGCAAACCATGTACTCAACAGTTTCCAAATCGACTACAGAAAGTGGTTTTTGGACTTCAAAGTTTCCTTCGCAGTATTTCCCCGTTCCTCCTCCACAGTTTCCACCCCCTCCTCCTCCATCCCCTTTTATCATTCAAAATGCGAAACCAAGAGGTGATTTTAGGACATCAATTTTATTTATTTCAAATGAGAGGCGTTTTGCTAATTAACATTAGTCGTTTAGTTGACTTCGGGCTTCACAGAGAGGAGGAGGAGGAGCATTAAAGTGGGAAAACGTCGAGGGGGGGGAGGGACAGAAGAGTGATTCACAGGTGTAAGAGAGACAGACGGACAGACACAAGGGTAGAGAAAGGCAAGAGACGCATGACAATTACAAAAATAAGTCAGGCTGTGAGAACAGGCGACTAAAACTCATTCTGCTGATGATGACAGAGACTCAGAGGTCTTCCGTTGAAGTCGATAGGCCTTGAGTGGAAGACAGTCCAATGACTTAGCCATTCCACGAAGGATCGTGAAGTAGGATACAAGACCAACAAGAAGACATAATCCAATTTCGATGTAGAAGCCATCCACAATCGTACGACAGGAACCTCCACCCAGTTTGCAGGCATTC